TCGATTCAAAATACATCCATCGTCGAAAATTCAACAATCCAAAATAACAAGAAAAAAATACATTTTTTGAATCATCTACATATGATCAAGTTTTAACTTTTACGAACTTAAACGAAACAAAATGAAGCTTATACGTAAAATATGATTAAAGAGTTAATACAAGTTCCGAACTTAGGCAAAGCTTTTATATATATATAATTTTTAAAACAAAAACTCTATTAGTTTGATGTATCAATATTTTTTAATATGTTTATTAATCTATAATTGTCATAGTGGTCAAGTTTTCAATCATCACATATTGAGCACAGAGTTTAATCTTATCTATTGCAAATATATGATAAAATTTTTCATTTAGCCAATTTCATAGCTAAAAAATTAAAACAAGGGGAGGTTCCTGAAACCATATCATGTACCTATCAGGTAGAAAGCTAGTGCTCTACCATATGAGCTACACAGCCTTATATCAATTTTGATACATCTATAAATATTTAATGTGAATAGTCAAAGTTTCATAATTCTTTTCTTCCCAAGGGATCCAACACGGATGGCAGCGCCCGCTCGCATGGTGCTAAATCCACCCCTAAATTGATAGGTGTAATTAAATGGATGTTTTGACTTTTCATTTAAGTGAATCTATTATTTTAATTACATTTAATTGCCACCTAAACGGGTGCTAAATACCAATGATGTTAAATAGTATTACTCAATATACAAAGCCGGAAAAACTTTGTCTTTGTAATAATAAGTTGCATCCATTCTAGGGACGGTTTTTGCTTTTCTATGTAACTACATTTATTCTTTTTTCTCATCTAATAATCATTCACTTTAGCTCGTACGCATTTTGTGTGACTTGTCTTTATCCGTAATCGTCAAAGGTCTGTTCAGAATAACAACTTTTATCTTACTCGAGCTTTTTAACTGTTGTTAGACTCTTTTTTAATATTATGATTTAATATTTTATTAGTCATCGTATTTCTATTAATTGTATTACATTTTTTAAATTTATTAATAAATTTAATATTTTTGTTAACTAAACGTAATTACTTATTTAATAATTTATGTAGTAATAAATAAATTTTGAGATAAATAAATTGTTAAGAATTAAAAAAATTATGAAACACTATTCATTTGGCGCAACTTTTAGTATAATAGATTTGAGATGATTTTTCAGTGGTGCAAATTTCGTTGTAGGATTGGAGATGGCCTAGTTCCCCTTTTGTACTTCCTCCTTTGTCATTTTGAGTTCGATGGAACACAAAATTGCATGGAAAATGAGAATACAAATCTAATGGGTTAATTCATTTGTACATAATGCATTACCCCATATCACATAATGCGCAGGGCCCGCATGTATTTAAAAATTTCGACAATGTGGTCCACATCCTCATTCTAAGTAGTAGGTAAAAGATTCGATAAAAAAATTCGGTACAAGTATGATCCCAAATCTAATAGATATGGTTATAGCTAATTTACACGGTTTGCCATATGAAAATTTCTTAAGGATCTAAGATGCTTGAGGTAATGTAATTCACATTCTTAAGAAATTTATTTGATTAAATTACAAAATCCTTATGTGAAAAATCGAGACAAATACAGCACAATCGTCTTAATTAAATAACAATATTGTGCACAAATGTTTAATATATTTTTTTCCAAAGGTGATGTACAAATTTAAATTGGTAATTTGCCTGTACTTATTAATAAAGATACTGTATAGAGTAGACTCCAATAAGTAATGCATAAAAATTTGAAAAGTAAAACAAATTAATTAAAAAAAGCGTCAAGAGTGAGCATTAATACAAGAATGGGTCGATTTCCATGTAATTCAAAATTTTGTTTTAGTTTTCGACGTGTTTTTACCATCGGTATAACATATTCAATTCCATTTCAATTTTCAATCCTTAAATTTTACCTTTGCTCAATCAATGTCTAAATTGATTGTTAAAACATTGATCAATAACCTCTGATCACAATACCTTTGGCATTATTAAAAAAAAAGAGAGAGAGACAGACAGAAAATTTTACCCTAGAAGTCTCGCAACGGTAACATTTGAAGTTTGAATTGACAGTCCCAACGGCTAAAAAGCGGCGACACAAAGCGCAATAACCGTATGCAGACACACACAATCAAGGCCGTTGTTTCCCACTAATCCAACGGCTGTGATTGCACAAAAAAAGGACCGTTGCTTACTGAAGCGCCGTGATCTCCTTCTTCAAAAGGGGTGTCTTTTTCAGTGTATGCCCGTGCTTTTCAGAGAGAGAGAGAGACAGAGAGAGTGAGTTGAAGATTATCCTTCGGGGGGAAGCACAGAAGAAAGGGTTTAAGAAGATTTTCATTTCAAGGTTTCGATAAATGGCTTCAAGACTGGTGGTTCAACAGGAAAATAGAGGTATTTAAAATATTCAAAATAAACTCAATAAACATAATCGGAGGGAGGATACACAAATAACCATCTTAAAGCTCTAATGCCTAATTTAAGATCCGATTCTTTATATTTCTGGCTGGGCTTCTGATATTTTGGGATTTTTGTTCTCTCTTGAGTTGTAATTTTCTTGATCTTTGTTTGTATCCCTTTGATTTGTTTTTCTTTTTGCTTCGTTACTTCTCACTGTTTGGGATAAAGAAACGATTATTCACGCATGTATTTCCAAATTTTCTTTTTATGTGAGATTTCACATTTTTTTTACCGGATTTTTATATGGTTTTGTTTGTTCTTTGGATCTTTTCTGCTAATGATTACTGTTTCATTCATAATTTTTTTTTAAAATATCTGAAATTTTGAAGGTCTTGAAACTTAATCCATCTACGGTTATGCTAATCTCTGCGTTTTATTTTATTTTTCAATCAGTTTTTGTCTCAAATGAACTTGTTCCCAAGTTTTGATTTCTTGATCTTGTCTTCTTATTTTCTTTGGGCATATTTGTTGCGGTCGTCATAATATGTTTTAAGACGAGTCTTGGACCTAAATTTAGTACCCATTTTTCGAAAAAAGTCTACGAGTGTTTGTGTCATTAATCTAAATTTTCCTTTAAATCTTTAATTATAATGTGGAACTACAGTTGCTCATAGTTTGATTTATCTCTGGGGTTTCCCTCATTTAGTAGGCGAGGCATTACCTGGAGGCGTTAAGCAGAAGAACATGGCAGCAGAAAGAAAGAATCGTCCTGCACTTACCAATATTGGGAATCGGGTTACGATTCCTGGGGTTGAGGGCAAGCCAGTTCCAAAAGTCTCCCGCCCCGTTACAAGGTTTCGCAATCACTCTCTTGCATTTTATGAAACATGAATGTGTTAGTCTCTTATATTATTTAACAGTTTTTCATTTTATGTTTCTGTTTTTAAAGGAGCTTTCGCGCACAATTGCTTGCTAATGCACAGGCTGCAGCAGCTGAGAACAAGAAGGTTGTCTTGGGAAATTGTTTTCTTGATTTGTGTATATTTTATTTGTTATGTTAATTGTGCTTGAAAAGTTAACAAGCATTAACGGCTGCTCTCCTTGAATTACAGAATGCTTTGATAGCAAATGGAGCTCTACCTAATCAGAAGGCTATGGGGAGGAAGGAAGCTCAGAAGAAAGCCACTGTCAAACCGAGAAAGCCTGAGGAGATTGTCGAAATTAGTCCTGATACAGAAGAAATTGTTGAGAAAGATGAAGCTCAGAAGAAAGCAACCGTCAAACCGAAAAAACCCGATGACACTATCGACATTAGTCCTGATACTGCAGAAGTTGTTAAGAAAGACGAGCTGGTGAAACAGAAAAAGGTTGGAGAAGGGTCGTTGAAGAAAAAAGCTCCAACTCTGACTTCAACTCTCACCGCGAGAAGCAAGGTTTTTACTTAAAATCTTGCAACTGCTTTGTCTTCTATTTTTAAAGGATTCATGTAGATGACCTTAAATTTATAAGGCTCATTTATGATTGTGTTCCCATATGCAGGCTGCTTGTGGTCTGAGTAAAAAATCGAAGGAACAAATAGTTGATATTGATGCTGCAGATG